GACTCCCGCACGAGATTGGGGCACAGGGCAGGGGGACCTCATCAGGACTGCACATGAGCCCACGGCTGAGATCATGACTGCTGTTAACTTTACCCCGGTGGCTTCTGTCTCCGTGCATCTCCCCCATTAGGGCAGGAATTTCTGGGCCTGGGATTAAATCAGACTCGTGCGGTGGCCCCAGAGCGTCTCAGAGCAAGGTCCCTGCACGATCCCCCAGAGGGACACTGTGACACAGTAACTGGCCTTCCACGGGCAACACTGTGTCTCCCAAAGGTCACTGCAGGAAGGGCTTGGGATCTCTGGTTCAGAGGCGTGTCCCTGGTTCACCGTGCAGGTGACACACGGTGTTGGGGGTAGTCCTGCCCCATCCTGCATCCAGTGGGAAACCAGGGCCCCCGACTCCAGCTCTGCTGCCTTGCGACCCCCCCAGGCCCCGCCCAGTTGTTCGCAGTCATAACCCGGGCACAAATGGGGTGGGGCTGCTGTGCCCTGGGCAGGCCCCGCCCCGCCCCACAGCTGGCCCAGTACCATCTTGCCCCACTGAGGTCTTTCTGGAACGGGAATCAGATCACATCTCTTGCGTAAAAGCCGGCCTGCACGCCTCCTCCGGTCCTCCTGCCGCTCCCTTGCCTCTCCTGGGCCCCTTCGTCCCTGCCGTCAGCTCCTTCCTGAACCCTCCAAGGAGCCACTGTGCTCAGTCTCCATAGCGCTGCCTGATGCACAGCCCATGGCAGGTGTGGGGTGTGCAGGTGAATGGGTTAAAATTCAGCAGAATCGTAATCCCAGTTCCTGGGTCACAGTGGCCATGTTTCACTGCTGAAAGCCACGTGTGGCCACTGGAGGCTGTCGACTGCGGGTGGGAAAGAAATATTTCCACCATCACAGAAGGTTGTGGCCTGTGCTGGTCCACACTACCCATCTTCGCCTGAGTCCCCACAGACCTGTTTCCCTGGGCTCTCAGGGTCTCCCCCGGCCTCCCAGGGCCAGTGGTCAGGCCTCCTTCCAGAAGCACGTACTCCACACGGGAGCTCTCCACACTCCCCTGGTTTCCCACCTCAGCCGGCCTGGGTCCTCTCCCTTCTTCTGACCCCGCGGTGCTGGAGCCCCGCCACCTGTGCCCTACACGTGTCTCCACGCCCACGCACTGTCCACACCTCCAGCCCCACCTGGGCTCTGAGCTTCAAGCTCATAGACACAACTCTTTCCAGTATCTCTGTCTGAAAGGTAACAGCATCTCTATCCTAACGTTTGCAAAATTCGAAACTCCTGATAGGGCCCCTGAAGCCCTGTTCTATGCAGTCCTCGCTCAGTGAAGGGGGTCACCGCCCGCCCATCACTCAGGTCCCTGCCCTCAACTCCCCAGCACTCTCCCAACGCTGTGCCCTCTTATCCCGACTTCCAAACACCCCAGAACCAACCACTTCTGCCACCTCCCCGGGACCAGTGCCCACCGGCTCTTGCCTGGACGGCAGTATCGACTCCAGGTCTCCAGGCCTCATGCTTCACCCTCAGCAGAGCCATGGCAGAGAGAGGGGTTCTCAGAAAATGCACATCAGAGCCGTTTAAACCTTGCCAGTGGTCCTGCGTGGCTCCCAGGACGCTCACACACACCTCAAGGACCCCCCACTAGAAAGCCCTTCCCCCTGTTGTCCATCTCTCTGTTCACTGACGTCACTCCGCATCTGGCCGCCTCCAGCCGGCCCTACGGGGCACGGCTCACACTCCCTCCCTGACCATCCCGCCGCCCCTGCCATCAACACTGCAGCTGCATCACTGGCCCACCTTCCATGTGTGGCACCTGCAACAGCAGACGGGCACGTACAGGCTTCTGCGTTTACCTGTCTCCCCGTGTCTTCATCACCAGACGTGAGCCCCGGGGAAGGACAGGCTCCGTTCTGACCTCCATGGCTCCCCAGGGTCCATGTACTTGTTCAGAGAGGCCCAGAAGCTCAGGTGACCTGCCCAGGGCCACCCAGAGCTCCTATCCAGCTCTTCCCGGGGGAAGGAGGGATACCACCAGCTAGGCACTTCCTGGGCACTTTTTGGGCCTGGGGTCTCAAGCTCCCTCCTGCGCTGGCTCTAGAGGAGTGGGACCTGGGGGCTATTTGGTCGAGTGGTCCAGCAGATGAAGCTGCCAGGGAAGGCTTCCAGGGGGAGGAGCTGCCACATGATGACCTCCGGGGCCAAGCACAGGACAGCAGGCGAGGCCACCAGGAAAAGGGCGAAGGCCTCGTGCCGTCAGAGACGCGGCAGTGTGTGTGTGGGGGGGACACTGGAACCCAAAGGAAGGCCTCCGACCCCCCCAACCCTGGGGCCACCCACTC